AGTCTAATTACATAAACTAATCATAAATCAACCGAAATGCATTAAGATTTCTCCATTCCATCAATGTAGCTGAAAATACTGTTCACTTTTAAGCCATAGGAAAAGCGAATTTTATGCATACTAAATGGTTACTGCATTCCATAGTACAATCTTTTTATCTCTGGACAATGCTTTGTAATCCTTAGCGGCAAAGTACGATTAAGTCCAACGATAATTTGGTCAATCTGGCAATAAAATGTTCTTCAACTAGTCGTAGACACATCGAGAGCCCTGGCCTGGCCGACCACGCTTACCGACATTTATCCGTCATCTAATTTCCTGTTGGCCAATCGTTCTATGTAATGCAATAAAACTTCAAACTTCTGATTAGTATTTAATTTTTCTGTTTTAACACGTAGTATAGTTTAACTCGTGGTTAATAGAACATAAAAATCTTGTATTATCACTTGATAATTGATCCTTCTCCAAATTAATTTTAGGGTATAATAGTCTGAGGACACTAATGAACTCTTGATACGAATGAAATAATGAAGAAGTTTGAATCTCACTCGTGTTTCTTCGGATGGTGGTTTATATACATCCCTCATATTATAGATAAATAAGATGCAAAAGATCAATTTAAATTTGCATGTTGAACTCAACGATGAGTGAAAAGTTCTAACACCATGGTGACCAATGGTAATGGGTCTTAGAAATTGCAAAAACCAAAGGATAATATAATACAAGTGATTAAACATTCTTGGTTCTCAGATGGGCTTGCTTTAAAAACTAGTTACCTAAACCATTGTTGGGAGACAAATTAATCACTCATTATTCGTAAGCACTTTAAGTTATGGAGTATGGTGACTAAACTTTTACCTATAGTTTTAGTAATCATCCATTTCTCTATAATCCATCCATAGGTTACAGGAGACACTGATATTGTCCTTCAACATTTGGTTGGACCTATGGATATTTTAACATATCCTCCTTTCTTATTTGACGACTTAAAACATCTATGAAGATTTGCCATAAAGGTTTACTTACATTTATAGTTTCCCCTTGACGAAATTCTACTTTTGGTTGATATGTTTTAGATATGTCGTCTGGGGACACCAATTCACAACATAAAGAGAGTTTAATGCATGAGATCAATGCATTGTTTTCTCCACCAACAAATGAATCATACGGTAAAAAAGGTTCACTCGGTATTGTAAGTTTTTTCATAATCTTACCTACATATAAATATTTAATTGTTATTAGCCTTCTTTTCGTCGCGCAAGGAAAAACAATGAATCAACGACGAACAGTTCAGAAACAAATAATTCCAGTTTAGAGCACTACCAACTACCAAATACATCTGGAAAAAATGATCCATTTTGGAGGAAACCTCGTGCTAATTGTCATGAATACTGTGATAGTTGTGGTTGTATTGAAGGCGAAAGACTTGTCTGCGATCGATGTCCAGCCAGCTTTCACCTTGAATGTCTTGACCCACCATTAGATCCGGATGAAGCACCTGTTGGTGTCTGGTTTTGTCATCGATGTTCAATGGTGTTGAAAGTATGTCAACCCGGACTTCATATTTATCAATCAAATATTTACTTTGTTCACTGACAATTAAACGATAATACTAAGTTGATAACCTTCATTTGCTTAACATAAAACGTCTGATTTTACGTTAAGCTTATGTTTTTTAACTTGACTATTTATTTTATTAAACTATTTGTAAGTAACTGTAATTTCAAGTTTATGTATATAGAATATTGCTGACCCTTTAGAACCATATAAGTCACAAGTGTTGGTAATTTGTTTCTATACAGAAACTGCATGGTGACATACTTGTTGCCAGAAGTGAGCATAACTTCGAGTGTACAAACTTTAATGAAAATCTAATGTGATTTATCAGCTGTTTAGTGATCTCTAATTTTCAATGGTTTTTCGGTTAGTATCTGGCTATGATGATGGCCATTCTCAAATGTCATTTCTTTAAGTACCTACGTAATTAAACAGAAATCAGATGAATTCCTTTGAGTTCTTCCTCATTTTCTTTTTCTGTGTGTTGAAATGTAAAGTTTAGCAGCTTTACGTGTATCATGTTCGTTCCAGGTCTTGCGTTACTTGTACCTGGATGTCTGTAAAATATAAGCTCATCTGTTCAAATAGTCTGAGTTAACAGAAAGATTTGTTAATTAAATTCATCCTATTAGCATTTTTGTTTTACAAATATGCATATTCAACACACCACATATATTTACCAGCCGATATTTTTTTCATTTCCAAATTTTTTTTTTCATTCCCTTTTTAATATATAATAGGATGAAGAAGATAAAACTTCAACATCAAGTAGTCAAACAACTATAGCTACAGATACAGGTTCTTCACGTTCTGGTAAAAGTGGACAAAAACGCCAAGATCAAGCATCATCATCATCATCATCAGTTGGAACTACAACAGCAGCAACAGTTGGACTATCAGCTTCCACTTCTACATCTTCCATTAGTAATAACAATAATAATAGTCATTCTCACCAACAAAATTCATTACAACAATTTATCCAATCACAAACTAGCAAACGTCATTATACATTCCGTTCGACATTTAACGAACAATATTGTTTAGATATGAATAAATTATCGAGTAGTCGTTCCAGTACTTGGGGTGATTCAGCGTATGTTGCTGATATTGAAGAATCTGAGCTAAGAGCATTATGGAAAGTAATTGAATATGCGAAATATCAAAATCCAAAAGAATATGATCTACCGAAAGACTTATTACCTGGTGTTAAGCTTCCTGGTAAGTATAAACGTAGGTGGGTCTTTTCAATAAAAATGAACACACTAAATTCATAATCATACCTTTTTAATAAGTTTAGCTCAAGTCTAATTTATGTTATTTTAACTGAATTCCCATTCCTAACGACATATTTATTTAATCTCCATATGCTTTGTTTAAAATATTTCTGAAAGTTCTCGGAAGCTAGACTTTTTGCCTACTATTTCGTTTAACACTACTAGAATTGTATACATAAACAATTTTCCAAATTTCAGTCCAACATTCATCATTAAGGTAGAGAATTGGTCGGTCGAGTGGCAAATAAGATCAAATACATCAGCACAGAAGATCAACAGTAACCCTAACTTTGTACCATTCTTGGAAACTTCAATAACCCTACAAAAATAAATTGATTTACTTTTAAAAACCCATCTCCCTAAATAGCCTCCAACATTTTATGAATTTTCCAAAAGTTTCGACCAGGTGTCGCCCTAAACCTCAATAGTTTAGTTGACACATTTATGGACAATTCTCAGTCAGTCAGTCAGTAACAACGTAGAACTTCGTACATACGTACATCAGTTCGAGTTGCCACACCACCTTAGCACAGAGATGCAGTTGTCGATTCAAATCCCGTAGTGGTAGAGGTAGCAAGAGTATAAGCAGTAATCGGGAAGATTAGCGTTTGGAGATGTTATTTAAAGAGTATAATACAGTGAAATAAATTTGGAAAGAGGAAAAAAGGGACATGAAGAATTCAGAAGATTGAGTATTCAAACAGGAACGAAACAATTGTTCAAACAATAGCACCACAATTTATAACTTAACAATTAAATTATGCAACTGATTATTAATCTTGTTCAAATCCATTTATTTATTGAATTAAAATAGTATTTCATCACTATACTGGTGATTCATCTAAAAAATCCTCGTGCTTGTTTTATATTTTCTTTTGTAGCCTAAAGATAAACATCCAACTACAAGAAATATAAAAGGCTTGATATATTATTATTATTATTATTATATTGCTTTAACACATAGATATTGGTACAAGGAGTCACCAAATACATATGCGCCACACAAATTTCATTTGATATGTGTGAGGGCTGGGATACTGCCCGGATGCCCAGACCGAAGCAGGTGGTTTTCTTAGGGGGCCACTTCCCGAGCCTTCGACCTGAAGGTCTGACCCACAAGGCAGTGGAGCATCGTAAGGAGATGCAATCCCATGGTAACCGGTGACCAACAATTGGTTCATACGCCATTTGTTCCCGCAGGATACTGGAGCTCATGTGCACCATTGGTTTGGAATCCGGTTAAAGCTCCGAACATTCGCTTTTCGTCCTCTCATTTTCGTAAACAACCCCCCAGCCACGAGAAGGCAGTGAGTAGGACTTCCCTGGCAGAGGCTATATACGCGTGACCATGTGAGATCATTTCGAGAGGGAGAGCGGACTTTCCCCACTCTCGGCCATACCAGGGCATTTGGGGGCCTTGATACATTAAGTATATTCCTTTTAGATCTCACTTGCTAACTACTATGTATTGTGGGATAATTCACTGTAGTTCTGATCTAACATAGTTTTTGATCGAATAGTTAGGTAATTGAGTCGTATATTTCACGTAATTATATATTTTGGTCTAATATCTACTGCTAGTGATCTGAACAATCCAAAGCTCTATCCGTTATAACGTAGGCTACCTTCATTTTGAAATATTGGATATGTTTTAGTGTACAGTAGTCTAGAGTAATCTGCTTATTTCCAAATAACGGTCTATTTCACATTTGTTCACTAGTGGCTTCATTTACGAAAGAATAAAGTTACTGATTAACTTAACTTGGTTTATGTCATTGTTAGAGAGGATTTTGATTGTTCTGTTATTGATAATCTTGATTCAATTTTGATCAGTTTTCGTTGAAACATGGGCTTCAATATGAATGTTTTTCACAAGTTTTTCTAGAATAGATGCATTTATAGCTAGTAGTACATCCCAGAACGCGTGTTTCGTTCTATATGGAACTCATCGCATGAATATACATGCATCCCAGTACTGATGTTTACACTGAGATTCAAACAACAAGCCAATTCAAGTTTCTTCTAATACTGATATAAATGTCACATCCATATCACAGGTAAGTGGCTATCTGGATTTAGTAGCTCAGTAAATAATGCATTAGGTTTTTGAAGCAAAATGTATTGGTCCCGAGTTCTGATGCGGATACGAATACCGGTATACGAGTATATCTAACTAACTAGTCTTAACTGCAATAAAATGTCCATTATATGTTTCCTGGCTAAATACAAATACACCTGTACTACGTAAATTGGTTCTCGATTTTTTTACTATTCAAAACTAAGGAAGAAATTAATACACCACTTATCTTGTTCATCTGGGCTTTTTTTTCTGATTACTTGTTAAGGTTCATATAAAACACCAACAGAACGGAAAAATAAAAGTATCATCGAATTAGAGAATGGTCTTATTCCACAACCTGTAAGACGTTGTTATGTATGTGTTCGGTAAGTTTAAAATCATATTTATGATTATATACATGTGTACATGATATATTACTCACATTATTCAATTGCTGAATGTTATCACAAGTTGTTTTTGTTTACATTTATGATTGTCTTATTTCAAATTTGTCCGAATTGATGTAGCTTAATCTAAGTTAAACACTAACCAACAATCAATGTGTTTTTAAACTTACTTACTTACTTACTCACGCATGTTACTCCTCGTGAAGGAGCATAGGCCGCTCACCAGCATTCTCCATCCAACCTTGTCCTGGGCAATCCTTTCCAGCTCTTTCCAGTTATTCATCCTTTTCATATCTGCTTCTATTTCCCGACGTAATGTGTTCTTTGGCCTTCCTCTTTTCCGCTTCTATTCAGGATTCCAAGTTAGTGCTTGCCTTGTGATGCAGTTTGATGATTTGCGTAATGTATGCCCTATCCATTTCCATTGTCTTTTCCTAATTTCTTCTTCAGCTGGAAGCTGGTTTGTTCTCTCCCATAGAAGGCTGTTGCTGATCGTATCCGGTCAATGGATGTTGAGTATCTTGCATAGACAACTATTTATAAATAATTGTACCTTCTTGATGGTGGTTGTAGTAGTTCTCCATGTTTCAGCTCCGTACAGTAGAACTGCCTTGACGTTGGTATTGAAGATTCTCACTTTGATATTGGTTGAAAGTTGTTTTGAGTTCCATATGTTCTTCAAGTGTAGGAATGCGGCCCTTGCTTTGCCAATCCTCGCCTTTACGTCTGCATCTGAACCTCCTTGTTCATCGATGATGCTTCCCAAGTATGTGAAGGGTTCTACATCTTCCAGAGTTTCGTCATTATGAGTGATTGGACTGCTATTCTCCGTTTTGAATTTGAGGACCTTGGTTTACCCCTTGTGTATGTTGAGGCCTATTGATGCAGAGACTGCTTCTACACTGGCTATCTTTATTTGCATTTGTTCCTGTGTATTGGATACGAGGGCTAGGTCATCTGCGAAGTCCAAATCGTTTAATTGGTTCTGAGCTGTCCATTGTATGCCGTGTTTTCCCTCAGATGTCGAGGTTTTCATAATCTAGTCGACCACCAGAAGAAAGAGGAAGAGAGAGAGTAGACAGCCTTGTCTGACTCCGGTCCTTACTTGGTGGTTTTTAAACTAGAAACTCAAAAATGTTCCTTGTTCTTTACTAGTAAAAATGAATAAAAACACTGTCAAATTCGTTTCGTATTGCTTTCTCAATAATAGTAATAAATAGTTTTTAATACTTCTAATGATCGCTGTCCGAAAATACAAATTGTAGGTCTTAGAATTTAAGTTTATGTATTTCATTTAAAGATATAATAACGATTCAATACAGTATCCTCTTTGTATAGATTTGGTTAGAAATTTTTAGAGCTAAAACATTTTCTAACACTATCTGTTTAGAGTGGTGAGCCACTGAGTATCATGTTCAAACCTCGTTTTACATACTTCGGTTTGGTCAATCGATGATTATAAGTAACTCCAAGCCAAGTACATGAATATCTGTACTTAGTAAACGAACTGATCACTAATATATGTCACTGATATATTTAACTTTTAAAACTGAACACGATATCTATCACTAGAAACGTTAGAGCAACACTACCCACCATAATACTGTATAAAGAGAACTATTACTGAAGTGGTCATTAATTGAGTTACAAAATGGTTACTATTTTATTTTTACATGTTAGATTTATTTCGTTTTCCCTTCGTTAATATGTTTAAAACATACGATATATATTAAAGTTATAGTTTGTTTCAAGAGTCTACTCAGTCAGTCAGCTGTAACATAGGACGAGGCACATATATGCATCGGTCCAAGTTGCCACATCGCATTAGTACAATAAGATGAACAACAACTTTGTAGAAGTATCTACTCCAATGGTAGTAATCTATAAAAGAAAGATTGTGTATAAGGATATAATACAGGAAGAAAGAATTAGTTGGTAGAACGAAAGGTGTACACATCGGTTCTGAGTCATGTCACCCTGAGTCTCCAACGATTGGATACGATAGTCATTCGGACCCCAACTAAGTAGTCTGCATCTATTAACATGGCTCAGACTATAAGTTATGACGTTAAAGACTGATACCACATTTTGGGTTCTCGCTTCTAACTTTCGTACATCCGTCTCCAATACTGGTATACGTAACACATGGCCCAGCCATCTCAGTTGATGAAGATTTACAACTCCGCGAACTGATTCACCATCATTCCATAACACCCTGTGTCTAACCTCACTATTAATTACCCGGTGATCTCAGCAGATGCGAGCAATATTTCTAAGACTTCTGTAGTCAAATACTAGCAACTTAAGAGTATCTTCTACTCCTAATGGCCACGTTTCACAGCCGTAAAGTAACTGGTAAATACTCGTCAAATAACCATGCCATTTTATACTACTATCATTGTATATCACTAAATCATGAATAACATTAAAGCAATTTAAGTTTTAATTCATTATTCAAGCCTTCCTCCCTCTGCACTCCTTCAGCTTCCCAAATATTAACATTTGTAGAGATAATATAATCGGTTATTGTTTTAGCATGGATATCAAAACCAATAATTTGTTCGGTGATTACTCCTTTTAATGACAATACGCTCTGATAATCATGCTATCGCAAGTTCAGATTCAAGATCGTACGTGGTTACATACTAAGATAATTTGTTTTTCAGTTTGCTATGTCTTTACTTATATTTGAGCGAAGAAAATGTGTGCACATCGAAACGCTAAATACTTACTTACGCCTGTTACCCCCAATGGAACATAGGCCTCCGACTAGCATTCTCTAACCCACTGTGTCCTGGGCCTTTCTTTTTAGTTCTATCCAACTGTTGTTCATTCTTCTCATGCCTGTCTCCATTTACCGGCTGTTGTAACGGGTGACTGCAGGTTATGATAAGCAGCGTTTTATTGATCGATTACAGTGACACGTAAAACACGTAAGGACGACCTAGAGTCCCGATTGGTCCCGCTTCTCTGTCTAACCCAGCCAGTTGAGTCTAGAACGCAAGCCACAGCCTCTGAGTTATGAATCATTATATTTCAGACATACTCTATTTATATACTAACCAAACAGACCACATCGTACCATAAAAATAGAAAACAACATCTGTACAATATTTAACGAGTGAAATAAATAACGGCCAATAGGAAATGTTCATTTAACGTCCAAGGACATCATTAGACTTAACATGATAATGATTGGCACATTATTCCTCAGCATCCATAACACCGGCGTAATATGTTGTTTGGTCTTCTTGTCCTCTTTTGGCCTTGAGGATTCCAAGTGACGGCCTGCCTTGTGATGTAGTTGGGTACTTTCTTCAATGTATGTCTTATCCACCTCCAGCTCTTCTTTCTGATTTCCTCTACTGGAATCTGGTTTTTTCTCTCCCACAGTAGATTTTTGCTGTAGAAAACTAACTCGCTAAAAAAACACTAAATAAACCTCTCAATCACACTTAAACTAATCACAATATTCTTAATATTCATAGTTATATCCTCAAAATTTATCGGTAAGGTTAGGCTCAAAAACTACCATCTTTTTAATGCTAGTCGAATGAATGGCCCCCAAATGCCCTGGTACGGCCGAGAGTGGGGAGAGTCCGCTCTCCCTCTCGAAATGATCTCACATGGTCACGCTTATATAGCCTCTGCCAGGGAAGTCCTACTCACTGCCTTCTCTTGGCGGGGTTGTTGTTTACGAAATTGAGAGGAAGAAAAGCAAACGTCCGGTGCTTTAACCGTGTTGGTGGATCCACCTAGGGGAGTTGGAAAACCCTGATTCCAAACCAATCGTGTACATAAGCCCCAGTATCTTGAGTGAACAAAAGGCGTATTAACCTATTGTTGGTCACTAGCTACCATGGGATTACATCTCCCGACGTTGTTCCATTTCCTTGAGGATTAGACCTTTAGGTCAAAGGCTCCGCGTGTGGCCCCTAAGAAAACAATTTTTTTGGGTTTGGGCACCCGGGAAGTGTCACAGCCCTCACACATATCAAATGAGATCTGTGTAGCGCATATGTATTTGTTGCCTCCTTGTACCAATATCTATGTGTTAAAATAAATAAATAAGTCGAATGAATTAACCTATGATAGGACCGAGTCAATCTGAAACTTAAAGTTATTATAACAATCAGAAAACATAAAAAGTATGAATTAGGGTTTCATAATAAATGCTAGGACTAGGATTTAAGCTTTAAGATTATAATTTATGTATCCAACTATTCGTTCAATTAATTTATTTCTAAACATTTGTTTTTCAGAACATGTTTCTATGCTCCTTTGTTACCATGTGATTATTGTTCATCATGCTTTCATTTAGAATGTTTAAATCCACCATTATCTCATTTTCCACCACGTTCTGATCGATGGATGTGTCCAAATCATACAGAACATACAACTGAACGTTATTTAACTCGTTCAATACGATTAACTGAACGTATGCAAATTTGGACTAAATTATATTTATCATTAAATAATGAAAATAATCATTATGAACAATCTATTGATAAAACTGATGAAATGACAAAAATACTTGAACATATACCTCCATATGAATTAACTTATACACCAGATGAAGAAAGTTCTATACTTTCTGATTTAATGCGTACTATTCAACGTAGTAGAAATGAACAACAACAACTACAACAACAACAGTATCAGTTATTGTCATCGAATTTATCCAATACAGCAATGTCAAGTATTTTCGATTCAATATTATATACTACTAATAATACTACTACTATTGAAGATAAACAACATATATTGTCCAATCGTCATTTATGGCGTTTAAATCGTGAATTAGCAGCAAAATCTAGAAATAATCAAAATTATTATGATAAACAGATAAGAATTGTGGTAAGTATCCTACAATTTTATATGTCAGTCAATCAGTCAGCTACAACGTAGGACCAGGCACATATATGCATCGATCCAAGTTGCCATACCTCATTAACACAACAAGATGAACAGCGGATTCATAAAAGTAGTTAATTCAGAGGTGGTAATATATAAAAGAAAGATTGCGTGTAGGGATATAATACAGAAAGAAAGAATTAGTTCGTAGAGAGAAAGATATGAAGTGATTTTAATCTCTTAGTTTAAGGGAAGATAGAGAGTGTAAACACCTACGCCGTTGTGATCGATTCTGAACCATGTCACCAAGAGTCTCCAACCATTGGTTACGGTAGTCATGTGGACCCCAACCAAGTAGTCTGCACCTACCATCAACATGGCTTAGACCAGAAGTTAGTGTTCTACAGCTTATTAAAAAAATGAAGATAACGGATTTGTCAAAATACACAAGGTTATATATTCGGCTTTGAGTTGCACCTTTGTTTAATGTAACATCTAGTGATACTGATAAGCTGAGCAAACGGAAGTAGGTATCATAAAATCAGGAATCTATTATTAATCTAATGCTTAAACCGGATTAATATGGAGGATTCACTTAGGGAAGTTGGAAAACCCTGATTTCAAACTAATGCTACACATGTTTTCTAAGATCTTGAGGGTATAAATGGTGTATGAACCTATTGGTGGTCACTGGCTATCATGTGACTGAATCTCCTTACTTTGCTCCTTCGCCTTATGGATCACACCTTTAGGTCGAAGGCTCCTGGTGTAGGGCCCCCTTAAGAAAACTACCTGCTTCGGTTTGGGCACCTGGGCAGTATCACAGCTCATACACAAATCAAGTGGCCCATATGTATCCGGTGCCTCTTTTTAGCAATATTTATGTGTTCGAATAAATAAATAACTTTGAAATACCGATGTACCCCTTATTCTATTGTCGGACCAATCAGTGTTAATTACCTAGTAGTCATGCTATTATAATTTTAGACTGATTTTTTTAATGTATGTAGAGTTGTATTTTTAATAGTTCCTTACATTCAAAAACCAAAGTACTGTTTTCTGATATAACTGAAGTATTGTGGAATAACGGGCATTGATGTATGGGCGAGAATGATAAAGTGATTGAATGGTTGCTATTGAATTGTGTCAGCTTGTTGTCGGTTTTTGATGTGGAAATATATTTACATTCTAGTCAGACTAACCACGTGTTCTTGATCTGAATTGTGTTGAAGTCCTATAGAATAGATATTGTGAGAGGGAATCTAGTGTAGATATTCATCTAAAGTAAATTAACTTTGTTGTTTTGATTGATGTTATTAATTCAGTTATAGTATTTATATCCCTTATAAGATATATCTATACTTTTTATCCCTTATCTATCAAGGTACCAAAAGCAGTTAAACATTTATACAATAATCCAGTAAAACGAATTCCACGTATTAATGAATCATCAAATGTATATCAATTAACAAATTTACTTGATAGTTCCAGTACAGATGAAAAGAGTATAGTAAGCTCATTCTTTTCTTCATAATTCCTTCCGTTATTGTTATGGTTTTGAGTTTCTGGTTTGATTTGTTCGCTATTTCTTTATTTGTAGATTCTTTTTTCTGTTTTGATCAGTCGTCACTTTCCATTGACGCAGGCCCTCAAATGCCCTGGTACGGCCAAGAGTGGGGAGAGTCCGCTCTCCTTTTTGAAATGCTCTCACATGGTCACGCGTATATAGCCTCTGCCAGGGATGTCCTACTCACTGCCTTCTCGTGGCGGGGTTGTTGTTTACGAAATTAAGAGGACGGAAAGCGAATGTTCGGCTCATTAATTAGGTTGTAGGAGACTTAAGATTCACCTAAGGAGTTGGAAAACCCTGATTCCAAACCAATGGTGTACATGGGCTCCAGTATCCTGAAGGAACAAACGGCATATGAACCAATCATTGGTCACCGGCTACCATGGGACTGCATCTCCTTACGATGCTCCACTGCCTTGTGGATTAGACCTTCAGGTCGAAGGCTCGGGGTGTGACCCCCTAAGAAAACTACCTGTTTCGGTTTGGGCACCCGGGCAGTATCACAGCCCTCACACATATCAAATGAGATTCGTGTGGCGCATATGTATTTGGTGCCTCCTAGTACCAATTTCTATGTGTTAAAATAAATAAATAAATAGACGCAAACTATTACGGAAAGACTGTAAATTAGTCGATGAGGTTGTAAATTTTCATCGACTGATGTGATTGGGCAACATGTTACGTATGCCTGAATACCGATTACCCCGGCACACAATGTTGACTACTGTTGGAGACGGACGGGAGAAAGTTAGTGGCGGCCAAACCAAAATGTGATATCAGTACATAACGTCACTAAATTCAAGTCTGAGCCATGTTGGTAGATGCAGACGACTGGGTTGAGGTCGGCATGACTATTGTATCCAATGCTTGGAGACTGGGTGACATGACTCAGCATCGATCACAATGGCGTAGGTGTATATACTCTTTGTCTTCCCTTAAACCGTGAGTTTAAAATTACTCTATGCCTTTCTTTCTACCGACTAACTCTTTCTTCCTGTATCATATCATTATATGCAATCTTTCTTTTATATATTACCACCTCTGAATTAACTACTTTTATGAATCCGGTGTTCATCTTGCTGTGCTAATGAGGTGTGGCAACTTGAACTGTTGCTTATATGTGCTTGGTCTTACGTTGTAGCCGACTGATTGACAGCACTTTTGCGCGGAATCCATGACAATACGAACTTAACAAACTAATCAATATCAGTAATGATTTGTAAGGATTTACACTTTCAAGACTGTAATCGATCAAGCTCTATTGTCATGTTTTGTCTCATGAGCTTGTTACTTTTACATAGTGTTATTCCTCAGATTTTGGCTATGCGTTTTTAGAAGTACAATTCAAGATAAACGTTTCGAGACTCAATAACCTATCGTACCATACGTTGGGAGTTTGAAGCAAAAGGTTACTGTGCTAGAATCTCAATGTTAACATTAATACTGGGATACAATTACAAATACGACGACATGCCCGTCCTCAAATTTCATTGGTAATTACATTACAAATATACTGAAAATCAATAATTTGTTGGAAAGAAAAAAATGTTATTTCATACAACTAAATAAATCGACTTTTCTAGAATGAAAACTGAAATATTTCGGTATCTAGTGATTTTTTCAACATTCACTTGCATGTTTAACTGGCCCCCGAATGCCCTGGTACGGCCAAGATTGGGTAAAGTTAACTTTCCCGCACGAAATGCCTTAACATGGCCACACGTATACAACCATTGTCAGGGAAATCTTACTCATTGCCTTCTCGCCAAGGAAGTGTTGTTTACGAACTTTAGAGGACGGTAAGCGAATGTCCGGCACTTCAACCGGGTTGGTTGAGATGGACAACCCACCTGGGGCAGTTGGAAAACTCTGATTCCAAATCACTGGTGCACATGGGTTCTACGACCATGACGGAAGAAAAGGCGTACGAATCTATTGTTGGTCACCGGCTACCATATAACTGCATCTCCTAACGTTGCTTCACTGTCTTGTAGATTAGACCTGTAGGTCAAAGGTTCGGGGAGTGGCCCCCTACGAAAACCACCTGTTTCGGTTTGGGCAAACAGGCAGTATGATAGCCCACACACAAATCAAGTGACTTATTTGGCGCATATGTATTCGGTGCCTTCTTGTACCAATTTTTAAATGTTTAAACAATTGATAAAATAACTGTAAAGTAAAAGTACTTAATTTTTAAATACCCCATTTCTTTCGCATTGAATTCCTTATATGATTCTGATCTGACAGTTGAATGTCGCGTGAAATCTCTAATTCAAGGCATTATATTCTACTAAACAATCGGTATTAGTAAGAAGAAAACAATATTGTTTACAAACATCGAAACATAAGATATTCAAGGCGTTAGTAACTTTTCGAGATATAGTCAATAAGAAGATACGTTCTTTTTAGCGACTGAATTAGAATTCAGTTTAACATAACGAACCTGTGTCAGATTAGTACTGTGGTGTATGATGCTGATGTTGACAGATATATGTATTATGTATCGTCAATCGAAGATGAAATACCTGGTGACAGAAGGTTAATAAGATCGAAGTAGAGAGAACGACCACAGAGAATGTTTGGTGTGGAAACGAAAGAACAATGAAATCTGAGACGATTGATTGACATTTTATAAATGAGGTATTTACTGTATAGTTGTCAGATTTTACTAAGATATTCTGTAGTTGTGTGTTGAAATACATTCGATTGTCCCCACATGTGTTCTCGTTCACTACAGTACTGCTACCACTTAACGAACTTGAAGTGAGCGCAATGCTACACAACTTACAGAACTTGTTTCGAATAAACAAGTTTTCAATGAATAATACACGTAGTGAATGCTAAATAGTGAATTTGATAGAGAGGATTAAATGTCATAAATTTTCAGTCAGTCAGTCAGCTACAACATCAGATCGGGCACATATATGCATCGGTCTAATTCGCCACACCTCTTTAGCACAGCGAGACGAACACGTAATTCATATAACCAGTTAATTCAATGGTAGTAATATATAAAAGAAAGATTGCATATAATGATATGATACAGGAAGAAAGAAGTAGTTGGTAGAAAGAAAGGTATAAAGTAATTTTAAGCTCACGGTTTAAGGGAAGACAAAGAGTATATACACCTACGCCATTGTGATCGATGCTGAGTCATGTCACCTGGAGTCTTCAACCACTACTGGTTACAGTAGTCGCTCGGACCCTAACTAAGTAGTCTGCATCTACCAACATGGCTAAGACTAGGCATATGTAACACGTGGCCGTAAATTTTAAGTGTTTTTTAGAACAATTTTAAGTGTGAAATAATTACACTCATAGGTTTTTATTCAATTCTCCTATATAGAATTAGGTAAGATTGGTTAATCACTGGACAGTGACCGATGTCATGTTTGTTTAGTCTTTAGTGCTGATTGAATTCTGTCGATCTTGTTCCAATGTGAGCAATAATCAACTTGATATTGACATTATCTTGATGCCAAGTAGTTGAAGGTAGTCAACAGGAAATCCCATTCTATGTAGATTTCATGCTAGTTGGTACTTGTCAGTAAGATGTTTCTTCAGTTTAAAGAGAAATGACTCTCCCTCTATCTAATGGATTCAAGTCAAGATCGTTCGATTTCGAGTTCAGAGTTTCCTATCAACTACCTGTAATCACACAATGTACAAAACTTAGCTATTCTTATTAATTATTCAATCGGCGCTGATCGGTATAGCAAGAGCAGCATATTTACAACTGAAGAACATCTGGAACTCAAAACAACTGTCAACCAACACCAAGGTCAGAATTTTCAATACTAATTTCAAGACAGTTCCACTGTATGGGGCAGAAACCTGGAGAACTACGAAAGCCATCATTCAGAGGATACAAGTGTTTATTAACAGGTGTCTACGCAAAATACTTTTGATCCGTCAGCCAGACACTATTAGCAACAACCTACTGTGGGAGAGAACAAACCAGATTCCGTCAAGGGAAGAAATCAGGAAGAAGCGTTTGAAGTGGATAGGACACACATTGAGGAAAGTACCGAACTGCGTCACAATGTAATCCATCACATGGAATCATCAAGGCCAAAGGAGAAGAGGAATACCAAAGAACATATTACACCGGGAAATGGAGACAGACATGAGAAGAATGAACAACACTTGGTTATAACTAAAAAGGAAGCACCAGGATACAGTGGGTTAGAGAATGCTGGTCGGCGACCTATGTTCCATTGGGGGTAACAGGCGTAAGTAAGTAAGTAAGTAAGTAGGTAATTATTCAATCGTTTATTGATTATATTCTAATAATCTTGAATTGATTACAATCTTTTGTTTTCACTTATATTTCGTGTTCATTTTCTATTTCATTGTAAACTAAAGTTTGTTCGTGGCCTTTTACAATTTTATTTACAAAATACTCTACAATTACCTACACAATCGTCAAATCTAATACAACCAGACGGTAGTAGTAGTAGTACAATGATTAGTGATACTAGTGATACTATTGTCACTACTAATGCAACACAACTGTCAATATCATCATCATTTGAAACAACTCCTATCGCTGTAACAACAACAGCTATTGACAGCCACATCAATGATAATAATACATCTAGTTCCCTCGTAACAGATAACAAGACAACTGATACATTGAAGCTAACTACAGATTCCATTGATATGAACACTGGCAATAATTCATCGATATTACCATACAATACAGAACAGATATCTAAAGATCCTTCCTTTATTCAAGATGACAACGAACATTTGTGTAACTCCTTCGAACAATTGAATACAGCAATTATAAAGAAATTCAATAATATTACTGATAATAATAGTAGTAAGTTAGAAGGGAAAATATTTTATTAAATTGTCTTTAAACAATGTATTTTGCGAATTACATTTCGAATAATCCAGTCACACATGCACACACACACACACTTGTGAAGGTTATGATTCAGTACATCCCGGACGAGTCCAAACTTTCCCTGCTTCAGTTTGGGCACCTCGGGCAGTATCCCAACTCTCACACAAATCGAATGATTTATGTGGCGCATATCTGTTTGATGCCTCCTTGTATCAATGTTTATATGTTTAAATAAATAAATACAGTACATAACTTGAATAGGACTTATAGATTATATAACCTAACTATAACTGTCAGCTTATTGGCAAATTCATCGTGTCTCCGAAGATTTAATCAGATGGCATGATTGGTCCAAACATGTCGGAAGTGAAATAATTGTTACTAAAAGCATTGGATAGTTATCGCTCTATATCTCTTAAATCTGAATTTATGTCATTTGACACTGATATTACAGTCCCAGTGGTTAAAAGTTTGCCGTTAGACGTTGTTCTAAACCCTAATATGATGGTAGGTGGGTACTGTTGAGGAGTTCCATGGTAGTACGAAATAACTATCCAGTGCTCCTTGGTTTTCAATGGTCTGTCAACTAAAATCAGTTTGTGATAAATGCAACTTACGAATCAAACCAATCCACACAAATCCCCATTTCCAGTGGAGCTAATCCTTGTCGGGTAGAAACAGGTGTCTATCTCAGTACAATGGAAGATGGTCGCGCAGTTTCGTGGATTGGTTGAGGTTAGACATTAACACCATTGGATGCCGGCTCAGTGGTCTGGTTGGTTAAGGGCCTGGCGCGAGACTCACAGGTTCTGGGTTTGAATCTCGCGGGGTGCGGGATCGTGGATGCGCACTGCTGAGGAGTCCAATGCCCTGACGAAACGGCCGTCCAGTGCTTCCAGGTGGTCTAGCTTCAGTTGACTCATGATTTCAACCAAAAATATTAGGAAGTTGTCACACAATTTTTAACAATAAAAATGGATTAGAAATTGTCAAGGAAAATTCGATGTTTAGGACAAAGAGTTTGTGTAAATATAAAATAGGTTTGACAATGCTTATACAACCTTTAAAAGTTTATTTTTTTAAGGTTAATTCTATGGTAAATTTTAGTTATGTGTTTCGTTATCGAGGAGTATGTTTTTGTTCTACTCATTATTCTCATCATTGTACTTGACACTAATTCTAAATAAATCCAATTAGGCACATGTTTAACGTTATTCAGCTCCGTTACATTTTGACATTACATGGACTTTTACAAATGAATAATCATTGGGTGGTAATCAATGTCATGTATATCAGGTACTTCTTAGTGCATATCGAATCCTATCGACCAAGTTGCAATACGGCCACTAATCTAGGTGACTCGACATTATGTGCACTATGTTGAGATAAGATAGTGGTTGGAAGTAGTCAACAGGAAACTCTGTTGACTGACTACCTCCAACCACCATCTTATTACATGGACTATTTGTTTTAAGAGTAATGCTAAAAACACAAGTGATCTAAGCATGTTACATGTTGATTGCAGTGTATTTATGAGTGTAAAGTTCTATGCTTTATGCTTATTATCAAAATATATGAAATGAAACTCATTCTAAATTCATATGGTGTTATTAATCTCTTTTTCTTACGTTATGACCCAGCTATTCCTATTGCTTAGTATTCTCGGACACCGATTCACTCGACAAGTCCCCAAATCAGAACACGGTTGAACAGGAAAGAGATTATATTCCAACTAACAAGGTTAGATGGAAGTAAGAAGCAAGTAATAAGCACAATAGGGAAAACGTCAGTATAGTTATAGTTTTTACATGAGTAGATTCTAGAGTATTCTCCAAGTATCGACTAGTGCTGATTGGATAAGAATTAGCCAATCAGCGTGCAGCAAAGCAATCGTGCATTGAGCATGCTTTAATCCAGTCTATGTCCCGCTAACACATGGTATTATTAACTTGAATCTTCCCATTGATGTTTAGGACTGCAATTGATCAGTCTCTTATGGCATATTGTACGTATTGGCTCGATATTGATTTAATTCACAAGTATTCTAGTCCCAGAGTGAATATCAACTCTGAGATGCAAATACATCTAGCTGACGAGTCCAAAATAGGACAAAATGCGCATCCTGGATACCACTGCTAGCCACTATCTATATTTGCTTATGAAACGCATTATGTTTTCTCTTTCCTTCTCACATTACAGTTTGAACCAGTAGTCATATAAAATGAAATGTTCTTTTATGTTCAAATTCTATTTTCATATTTAGTTCCTTCTAAATTGGCTCGTTTAGACCCTCAATTATTGTATACTTTAGCGGCACAACGTATTTATGATCTCTTGGGTATTAACAATGAAAATTCTATTTTTCCTAATGAAGACAATATTAAACAGAATAGTTGTAAAACAAAGAAAGACACTTCTAAAACATTGAATATTCCTGAAAGTTGTATCCGTGCAAGAGCTGTACTAACACCTTGTGATGGGACTAATGGATATGAAACTCGAATGCATTATAGGCAATTGACTGTTGGTACATGTAAGTTTTTTTTTAGTTTCATAACTTAACTGCTTATAAGTAACAGGTTTATTTATTACAAAATGTATTTTAAACAGCAGTTACATCAATTTTCAATATACTTTCTTACTTACGCCCGTCAATGACCCTTATGGAGGAGCATAGGCCACCCACCGGCACTCTCCATCCAACTCTGTTCTGAGCAGTCCTATCCAGTTGCTATTCATCTTTATCATATCTGTTTCTGATTTCTGACGCAGTGTGTTCTTTGGCTCTCCTCTTTTCCGTTTCCCTTCAGGATTCCAGGTTAGCGCTTACCGCGTAATGCAATTTGATGGTTTCCGTAATGTATGTCCTATCCACTTCCAACGTCTTTTCCTAGTTTTCTTTTCAGCTGGAACTTGGTTTTTTCCCTCCCTCAGTAGGCTATTTCTGATGGTATCCGACTGATGGATATTGAGTACCTTGCTTAGACAACTATTTATAAATACTTGTACCTTCCTGATGATGGTTGTAGTAGTTCTCAAAGCTTCAGTTCTGTACAGACGGACTGTGTTGACGTTCTTATTAAAGATTTTGACTTTGATATTGGTTGAGAGTTGTTTTGAGCTGCATATATTTTTCAACTGTAGGAATGCTGTCCTTGCTTTGCCAATCCTTGCCTTTACGTCTGCGTCAGATGTTTCTTGTTCATCGATGATGCTTCTCAGATACGTGAAAGATTCCATCTCTTCCAGAGCCTCTCCATAAAGTATAATTGTGTTGGTCTTCTCCGTGTTATATTTGAGGATTCTTTGTGTATGCTGAAACTCACTGATGCAGAGCCTGCTGCTGAACTGTTTGTTTTGACTTAAATTTGTTCGTAATATACTTCCTGGCGTATAGTAATCGGTTTTGAAAATCAACCTTTGCAAGATCCAGTTTTACCCTATATTGACCAGTCAATATCACTTAAGTAACCGTTAAACCTAAAAGGTTAGAGGTGGGAAAGCGTATTCTGCTTCAAGTTACTCAGCTTGATAGCTTGAGACTTTGTCGGCAAACTTTACGAGTCCAACTAACTTCTTGTGAGAATGAGATATTTACATTCATTGATGACTTAGCAACGGCAAGTAATGTTATATTTGTTTAATCCTTCAAACTTATTAAGCTATGTTAATCAAGGTACAAATAACATGAAATGCAGATGCTTAGTTTCCTTTTGATTACCTCTAAACCATCTAACATCAAAACATAGTCCACACTGTGTTAAGTTATTAAAACAAGTGGTGGCTACATTGAAACTTGATTGATAGAGTTCAATCAGCAAATAAATAATCCAGGAAAACACAACATGAATCACCACTCAGTGAATAATAAGCACAACTAACTATCTAAAATTCGGGTTGATGGATATGGAGGATCCACCTATGGAAGTTGGAAAACTTTGACTCCAAACCAGTGGTGCACATGGGCTCCAATATCCTGAGTAAAGAAATGGCGTATGAACCAATTGTCGGTCACCGGCTTTCATGGGACTGCATCTATTAGCGTTGCTTCAATGCTTTGTGGATCACACCTTCTGGTTTAAGTCTCCGGGTATGGCAACCTAAGAAAACCACCCGGTTCTGTCTGAGCACCCTTCAGTCAGTTGTGGTTTTAATGAACATACGTCATCTTAGTGGTTTTTTAATCAAATTTAAAGGTTTGTGGAGTTCGTTTTGTATGTGAAAGTAATTTTCATTGTAAACTGACACATCCATTGGCAATTTTTTTATAAATCGAGGACGGTTACATCAAAGCCAGTGTTTTATAAAGATAACACTTGTACAATTATCATCAGTATCCTGAAGCACAGTGATCGTATACAGAGGGATCCCCGAACATCTTCATTTCAGGTAATGTGGGTACTAGGTTTTGTAAACATAAAGTCGGAAATAATACCATCGAAACGTTGTATACTCGACTGTTTACAGCCAAATTCATATCATCTTCCATATTATCATCAGCTCTTACATTATTAACTAGATATATAATCCTCTTAACCATTTCTTAGGTCATACCGCAATCGATGACTTCACACACAGATTTCTTCCAGCTAATAGTTCAGAGTACATCTCACACTTGTTATTTATTTATTTATTTATTCAAACATATAAGCATTGATACAAGGAGGTACCAGACAGATATGCGCCACATAAACCATTCGATTTGTGTGAGAGCCCGAGGTGCCCAAACCGAAGCAGGTGATTTTCTTAGGTAACCACACACAGAGCTTTCGACCTAAAGGTCTAATCCACAAGATAGTGGAGCATCGTCAGGAGATACAGTCATACGGTAGCCGGTGACCAGTAATCAGTTCATACACCACTCGTTCCTGGAAACAATGTACACCATTGGTTTGGAATAAGGGTTTTCCAAATCCCCTGGAGGAATCTTCCACATCCATCAACCCAGTCCAATCACCGGATATTCTCTTTTCGCCCTCTCGATTTCGTAAACAAAAGTAATGCCACGAGAAGGTAGTGAGTAGAACTTCCCTTAAAGTAGTTGTATGCACATAATCATGTGATAACATTTCGAAAAGGTTAGCTGACTCTCCTAACCCTCGACCATATCAGGACATTCATAGAGGCCTTATACTTGTTAACATTGATCATCAACTGATTAGAAACTATTCACTAATATGTATTACATCATACATTTCATTAATGATTTATTCATTTACATTCTCTTTTTCTTTTAATTAACTTTCTTTATAGCACCGGATTGTCATTTATGTTTAGCTAATTATAATTTATCTTCATTAAATAATCAAAAATGTTCATTTATATCACCACATCATGCTACAATCTTCTATGATGATTGGACACAACATTATGAATTAATTAACTATAGTGAATATGGTACACGTGTAGATGGTATTATATATGGGAATGATATAGATAGAAAATTAATTTATATTCCAGAAGTAAGTTTAATGTTTTCTTTTATTTCAATTAAACTTTCAATGGTTGAGATCTTAAAAGTCATTTTGAAGGCTAGATCACCATGGAAGACTTGAAATCACTAAATGGTCATTTTGCCCTATTGTGAAACTCTTCAACAGTGCTCATCCACGATGTCGCCTCGCAAGGTTCGGACTCAGGATCTATCAATCTTGCGCGTGAGCACTCAACTACTAGACCACTGAGCCGACCGGTATCCAACAGTGTTAATGTCTAATTTCAACTAATCCATGAAATTTAGCGAACTATTATAATAATAATGATGAAACTATAATTTATCAATGAACCAATCAGGCATTGAATTCTGGGCGCCGAATTCATTCATTCAATTTGGTTAAATAGAGTTTTGGCATTATAACTTATATCAGTTCATGATGTAAACCTTCACATTGGTGTATAACTCTCATTTAATTCTAGTTAGTATGTGTGCGTTCTCAAAGTCACTTTAGTGTTGGTCAAAGGTCGTCCATAAATTATGGTCTCACCGGAAATTCTTTTCATTGCCAAGAATGATTTGTTCATGTGATGATGAAGTTGAATTATTAACATTTCGCTTTATATCAGAAGGAGGTTTTGTGGAAATTGCAATAATTTGTTAATTGAGGACATGAGTCGATTAAAGTTAGATCATCATGCAAAACCTGAAAGCACTGAAAGTCTGTTTTGTCCTATTGTGGGTTTCCTCAGCAGTGCGCATCCATAATTCCGTCGTGGGATTCGAGCTGAGGTCAAGCCATTAGTAATACAAAACAGTCCAGTAGTAAGTGCATAATTAATTAACAATGATTCTGGTACAATAAAGCACTAACAATTAATAAGTTAAATAGAAATCTTATAATTTTAATAGTTGAGATCATGAGTCATTTGAAGCTAGACCACCACCATAGAAAACCAAGAAGCACTGGTCATGGATGCGGACTACTGAAGAGTCCCACAGTAGGACGAAACGGCCATCCAGATGATGTAGAACCTGGTACATGTATGCATCAGAACAATTTTTAACTAAGAATCAAAACAGCTAAGTGAGATTTTCAAGCGCGAGATCGGAGTAGTAGTCGTGGTAGTAGTAATATTAGTGGCAATAAAAAGCAGACATAGAGAATACAATTCGAGAGTGATTTCACTTTTCAGGATCTAAGCAAAGACAAATAACGAATACATTTTGACCATTAGAAAAAATGTTAAGCCATGTCACCAAACATCTCTAGCCACTGATCTCATCTATTATGTGAATCTCAATCAGGTTGTTTGCACCTACCTATTAACATAACCCAGTCTAATAAGAAATAGATCCGTGCACTGATTCCATATCTTTGTTTAGCTACCACTGGGAATGGGACACGTTGGTACTATTGGTTAATCCATTAATGTAATTTGTTTCCTACTTTATTCATAATTTTCTAGATCTCTACAATATACAATTACTACTCTTCATCTTACTCTCTCTCTCTTTCTCTCCATATGCAAACACAATTTTAGTCTTCCGATCTTGTTCATCGAGTTCGTAATCTCATAAAAACTGCTCCTAAAGAATTATCACCAAATTATCAAACATCATCGGTTATTCCGGAACTTTGTGCTTCACCGCCTAAACGTCTAATGAAAATGTTAAGTAAACGACATGAAGTAAGTGAAATATACTTATTTAAAACTTATTTTTATTATGTCAATGAAAAAGAATTATTTTTACAAGTGTTAGATCTTTCGTAGCCTCCAAGTCACCCGATTGAGATATTCGCGAAGTTTCCAAAACAACGATTTGTGTACAATAGCGGTTCATTATTGAATAATACACAAAATTTAGTTACAAATCTTAACTTGTGAGGTGTCTGGAGCGTTTAAATGCGTCCTTCAAGTATGAAAATAAAAAGGCTTCCTGTAACAGTAACATAAAGAATAATTATAACATACGATAGTACAAAAGATAGCTGATAGCTGTGTCAAATGTCGATAAGAGTTTATCAACAAGCAAAGAGGGAACCTACTTATTTACTTACGCCTGTTACCTCTCGTCGAGTAGCATAGGCTGCCCACCACCATTCTCCATTCATATCTCTTCTTGGCAATCCTTTCCACTTTTTTCCCAGTTGCTATTCATCCTTTTTCATGTTTGCCTTCGATTCCCGACTCAATGTGTTGTTTGACCTTCCTCTTTTTCGTCAAGGTCTTCATACTCCTGTCGAACACCACCAGAAAAAAGGAGAAAGAGGGAGAGTAGGCAACAAATTTAACAACTTGTATAACTAAACTCATTTCGTGATATAAACTATAAAATCAAACTTCTTAGTAGTAATTTTGTAGATTTTATTTCTAATGTTTACTGTTAGAGATGAATAACCTAGTTGCGATCTCATGGTATAGAGGTGATTGTACATGTACATACCATAATGTCGACACATTTCGAACGAGAATAAAATATTTTTATTCAGTGATTATTAGTTTATATTTCCAACTTTAAGTTAGTTGCTGTGGTGCGAAATTACATATTGTATAATAGAGCTAAAAAGTTGTCTTTGTGAAATATTGTTCTCGAATGCCCTGGTGTGACCGAGGGTGGAGAGAGTTCACTCTCCATATAGAAACGCTCTCAAATGAGCACGCGTATACAATCACTTCCTTTTCGTGGTGAGGGTGTTTTTTGCTAGATTAAGAGGACGAGAAGCGAATATGGATTAGACCACTGGTCAAAGGCTACGGGTGTATCCCTCTAAGAGAACCACTTGCTTCCGTTATAGCACCCGGGCATTATCCCTCACACAAATCGAATGGTGAAGTGTGATGCATATCTATTTGGTGCCTCCTTGTACCTATGTTTATGTGTTTAAATTATATGTATATTCCTTAATGCAAACTGAAAATTAAGACATTGTGGTAGTGTAATTAAATGTTTTCCAGTAAATTGACAAGAAATCCTTGAACCCTGAATTTACCATTCAACAGCAAGTCGTATTTACACTTTGAAAAACTCGCATGCTCCTCTATGGATTTAAATGGATATTATTCAATAGAAGATATCATCATTGGAACCCGTTCACTACTGAGGTCTCAGTCGGTTATAAGACAAACTCACTCGTTTATTATTATTTTATTTAACCACATGAAAATTGATACGGGGAGTCACCAAACAGATATCCTCCACATAAATCATTCAATTTAAGTGAGGGCTGAGATTGCTTCCCAGGTGCCCGAACCCAAGCAGGTGTATTTCTTAGGGGGCTACATCCCAAGCCTTTGACTTACAGATCTAATCCACGAGGTAGTGGAGCAACGTCAGGAGATGCAGTCCTATGGTAGCTAATGACCAACAATCAGTTCATACACCTTTTGTTCCCTCAGGATACTGGAACCCATGTGCAGCATCGGTTCGAAATGAGGGTTTCTTTAACTGCCCCAAATGGATTCTTCATATCCACTAACTCATTTAAAGAGTCAAACATTCACTTTTCATCCTCTTCATTTCATAAACAACAACCCCTTAACGACAATATAGTGAAAGTAGGATTTTCCTGTCAGATCATTTCAAGAAGGAGAACTGACTCTTCTCATTCTCAACCATCATTATTATTATTATCCTCATTTATACCTGTTCTCTTTTTCTTTTTCTTTTATATACTTTACCAGGATTTATCACATATGACATCTATATGTGATTGTACAAGTTTACATTTTACTCAAAATGATAAATTTCTAGTAGATAAAACAGATTCATCATTCGATTTAATCACTGGTTGGGAAGGTTCTGCTATTTTAAGACATGGTTCAATGATACAATTTGGTTGTTATAAATTTATTTTTAGTTTAGTCAATCATTCTTTACCTTCCCATCCATCATCAACATCATCATCGACGTCAACATGGATGACAATCAATAATAGTTCAACACAATCTTCTTCTTCGCATGAATCACCAGTACTACTTACAGATTCTTTATCAGTAGTAACAAAAGATTTTTTAAAATTATCTAAAAATAACAATTTACTTGTTCATTAATTTTTTAAAAGTGATTTAATAAATCAAACGAACAAAAAAGGAAAGAAAGAAAAAAGAGAGAAAACGATATAAACAGTATTATCATTCTTATGAATTTATACTACTTATAAACTACTTATATATAGATATATAATTTTGTATATTTGTGTTGTATGAAATTTATGATTACAATTATTATTATCGTATTTTAACTAACTAACATCACTTTTATCATCCATTGTCTTGATCTGCAATGAAAATGATCACTGCATAGTCAGTCAGTTACAACGTAGTACCAGGCACATATGTGCATCGGTCCAAGTTGACATACCGCAATAGCACAGCAAGATGAAAACCGAATTCATAGGAGTAGTTAATTCAGTGGTGGTAATATATAAAAGAAAGATTGCATATAAGGATACAATACAGGAAGAAAGTATTAATTCGTTGGAAGAAAGATATAAAGCGATTTTAATCTCTTAGTTTAAAAGAAGACAAAGAGTACATACAACTACGCCAATGTCATCGATTTTGGTGGAGTTTTGTTCTCTGAACTGGATGGTTTGGTCGTGGAGCTTTCATCGTTCTTCTGAACGACATCATCAGCACAAAATTCAGATAGAAGTGAATTGTTCAAATTTCTCCATTTGTGTTTCTTAGTTTGTTCTGTGCACCTCGATGTTGATTGGTTCTTATTGACCTTAAATTTATCATTGTTTACTTCTTTGTTTTGGTTGTGTCTCCCATTGGTTTGATTTTTGTTCCTATATTTATGCATGAGTTTCCTGATTGGTTGATGAGTTGGATTGGTTTCAATATGTTTGATGATTGACCTGAGTACCAGCCTTCTAAAAATGTTCGGGTGTATTTGGAGTTTACTCTATCTAAGATTTCTACATTATCCCAATTGAATGACTGTCAGTAGTTATCCACGTGTATTGATATAAGTGTAGAGATATCATGGCGTGTGACAGATAATTGATGTTCATGTAGGCGTAGTTAGAGGAGGCGTCCGCTTTGTCTGATGTAGTGCTTGGTACAATTTATTTTGTACATAATGATTGATTTGTTTTCCTTTCTCATTTCATTCTCTAGATTGCATAGGATTGATTGTAGTGATTACCTTGGTTTGTGTGTCACACCTATCCCGAAGGAGTTCAGCAGTCTTGCAACGAGATTACAATTCGCAACACATACAACTCAACCACCAACCCACTCAACCAATCACTCACTAACTCCATCATACGCACACACAACACCATTATTCATTCACAATCTTTACTGAGGTTGGCATGTTTCCCAAAATAATCACTGAATACAGCAAAAGTATTCACATGCACACAAACACACACAATTTGTAAATGCTGTGAATCGCTGATCGTCTAGTTTCCGAGTGCATTGATGTTAAGAAGGTGGGAGAGTGGAGAAGCGTGTGCGTGAGTACGACGCTAACGATCGATATGAGAATGTGGAAGAGAGAAGAGGAGAAGAAAATGTGAGAAGACTGTCTTGTGTATCATTCAATCAATCAATCAATCAATCAATCACACACAAACAGATATACAGGATCAGTGGAATATAACTTGTTGGTACTGCATCCACTATCCACATAGTATTAGGCATAAATCAAGTCAGGTCAACCACTGGTTGATCAATGTCAATTGAAAATCACAGAATTTCTAAACATCGACAAATTAAACCACTTCCATCCATGTTGTCCTACTTATGAAATTCGCGGTCAACCGAGTTGACTGACTGTGCTTGTTATTCGTCTGCACAAATATCTGGTGTTGTTGCTCTGTCTGTAATGCAACTAGTGAAAAGTGTTTAGATGTGCTGCTGACGTCAAGTTGTCAAGTTGTGACTATCACTTGTGCGAGTGGATTATGAGACCAGGAGATGGTGCAGCAGAACGCAACCCGATTGGAAATGATGCAATGGAAATCAACGCAACGCAACGCAACGGAACGCAATGCAATGAAATTCAGTGAAATGAAGTGCGATACAAAATAAACCGACGATATTTAGTTGACTTCACTGTGCTACTGAAATGCTCGACAGTAGTTTGTTGTTTAGTGGAGTGCATGATCGGGAATTCGTTGTGCAAACTGAATATACTACTGATGAGGTGATGGTGAATTGTTGATTTTATGCAGTAGTGTTGGTGAGTGATGAGATTGTGGAGTGTGGAGCGTAGTGTAGATGATGTGTCGAAGGGTGTGTGGTGTGTTTGTCGATGTATGAAGAAGATTGTGTTGAGACGTGCAAAGCTGTTGCAGATGTGAGTGTGAAGTGTGTTGTTGTGAGGTGTGTTAGTGTTGTCGCCTACAAATCGTGCATCAGAAAAGGAGAGATGGTTGGCAGTCCCCTGCACAAGGTCGGACAGGGCATCTGATGCCCACTCTCCTGAGGCATGAAACATCCGCTACTTTCGGATGGCCTTCTTCCCAATTACATACATCTCATGTGTATCACTCACCTCACATCACCCCACCTAACCTCACAGATAACTCACGCAATCACTCACTCACTCAATCACTTCACCTAACTCACAATCACTCAACTCCCACTGATCAATAACCAGACACAAATTCCACACATTCACTCTACATCCATATCCAACAACACATTCTTCATCACTACAATTCGCAACACATACAACTCAACCACCAACCCACTCAACCAATCACTCACTAACTCCATCATACGCACACACAACACCATTATTCATTCACAATCTTTACTGAGGTTGGCATGTTTCCCAAAATAATCACTGAATACAGCAAAAGTATTCACATGCACACAAACACACACAATTTGTAAATGCTGTGAATCGCTGATCGTCTAGTTTCCGAGTGCATTGATGTTAAGAAGGTGGGAGAGTGGAGAAGCGTGTGCGTGAGTACGACGCTAACGATCGATATGAGAATGTGGAAGAGAGAAGAG